GGGCTTATAACTGGTAAGGACAGAGGGGTCCATGTTCTGTTTTTTCAGAAGGGTTTAATGACTGAGGTCTTTAGCAGTTTTGGAAACACCTGAGTATAGAGAGTTATTCACAATGTGCAGTAGGTCCTGTGCTATGCTAGAGAAGACCTGTCTTAAGAAGCTTGTAGGGAGAATGTCCAGAGAACATGTAGAGGGTCTGAGTTGTTGCACTATTTATATACTAAAAGCAGACATGCCTACCTTTACGGAGTCTTCAGGGCATGACGGGCAAACAGGGCAGGTGTGGAAGGCATGTCCCGGTTCCCCACAGTACAAGCAAAGTCCTTGCACCATGCGCCGGCACCTCTCAGCCATGGTGAGGGGCGAGTGCCGAAGTTGCATGGGTTCCGTGCAATCTTCCGTGAGTGTGTGGGTTGTGGACAGCGTCACTGGGCGGGTTCATCTGCGACGACATTCCCGTACGGCGTTGTCCAGGGTCACGGACAACCCAATATAATACTTGGACATAGTGGAACCGTGGGATGTTTGTTCGTCTTATCTCTGGATTAAGGGCACGGTGATACATAATCTGCAGGCAGTCCTCAGGCCAGCGCAGACCGGCAGTGATGGTGCGGAATTCTGCAACAGACCTAGTTACTTGTTAGAGATCAAACAAGCCTTCTCCCAGGCTTCGTCCCACAGCGGGGTGGTCGAAGATCTCTGTAAATGACTTTTGGAAGTATCACGCTGAATTTCTCAGTCGCGTGCTCAACTGGTCAGCAAAGAAATGCCTTACAGTGATCCGGATTGCCATCATACTTCTCCAGCATGACCACTGGGACAGGAATGGAAGCCCTTGGGGAGGAGGTGGATAGATTGGTTCAGGAAGCCTGTCCCTCCAATAGCTGGGATACTAGCGAAGTCAGCTGATCGACCTGTTGTTGGAGTCGCTGGGTCTCCGCGGGGTCTATACTTCCATGACAAAGTATTCTGTTACGACCAGGTGGACCCCAAATTGCTGGAGAACAGGAGTTTATTTATAAAACCGGGTGCAGACAAATCCAAGTCAGAAAACCAAAGTCGGAGTCGAGACGGAAGCAGGAGGCCAGAATCCGGGGAGGTCAGTCCTACAGACAGGCATGGGACAAGAGGGCAACCAAGGCAGGCAAGACAAGCAGGAAGGATGCAGCACGCAGGACAAGCGGGAGAGACAAAAGACAATTATTGCGAGGACTCATCCACTTTAAGAAGCGGAGCTAACATTGGGAGATTGCCTGCAGCGGTTACCTCCCTCCCATGTGGGCGTGACAGCCTAGATCTCGCCCTGTCCTTGACCTATGACTGGAACACAGCATTATCACAATGGACAGTATGTTTCACTCCAAAATGCCATTGTGCCCTGTATAAATTTCAGCCACCCAGTACCAGGAACACCAAAACATTTCAGAGGCTCCTCCATGTTTTGCGGTAGGGGTGGTGGTCTTTTCTCTGAAAGCGTCATTATTGTTAAGGCGGGGCAAAGGAGGGAAAAGAGGGACAATCCACAGAGCAGCTCACAACAAAGCAGGGTTTATTAACCGAAACAGAACACAAAATGGGAAATTCACAAAATAAAGGGACCATGAAGGTTCAAGAACAAAACAGGAAAAACAAGAACTAAGTAAAAGAACCACAAAGTAACACATTAGGGAACAGAGCAAGACTGGGAAAAAACACTACAATGACTGACAGAAAATTAACAAAGGCAGGTCCTTAACAAGGTGTGGGCTATAAGGACCTAGGGGCAACAAGGAGCAGGTGAGGTCAATTAAAGGATACAGCAGGTAAAATCACCAAGAGAAACTAAAACATGGAAAATTGAACATAAAATGACCAGGGAGCAGAGAGCAAACCCAAAGGACTGTAACTGGAATACATACGCATAATAAACCAAAGAACATAAAATAACAAATGTAAAAAACAACAAAACAACTACTTCAGGTTAGCCTCTGACCAAAAAGGAGCCAGAATGATGGCCGACCACTCAGCCTGTTAAACCACATAGCAGCCAGGGGAGTAGAGAAACACACTGGGGACTAAAGGCCTATAAGACAGAGGGGGAAAACAGGATGGCCAGCGACACCTGCTGGCCAATTAGGGACATATGGAACAGGGTCAGATCTATCTACCCATTCTGTCATTGTGTCCTGTAAAGATATATCTTTATCTAAAATATATACTCCATTGTGTTTGTGTGCCTGGATGGTTCAGCAGCGATTTTACCATAGACTCCCACAGGATCTCCCCCCCTTAATATCTTGTTTTTAGTTCCTTTCCTTCGTTGTCTTCGGGCATTTTTTCTTTTTCCTGTATCATGACTGATTTAGTATCCATGAACTAATAATGCATTGCCACAAAGTCCTCTTGGGTGCCTTGGGGCAACAGTGTTGTGAAAGGCGCTATATAAAATGTATTTTATTGAACTCTTCAGGAGTATATTTTTAAATAAAATATCAGTTTGAGCTGAAAATCCCTTGATAAAATAAGTATACTAATTCCAGCAATGACGCAGTTCCATTACGTTAAGCTTGTCCTTATATAAAATTGAGATAAAAAAAAACAATAAACTGTCCTTTGGGAGTGAATAATGACGGTGACTCTGTCGCCGCCTTGTGCTGTAATGGTCTGTTCAAGTTACCTCTCAGCCTCAAGTACGGTTACTTATTTTGTTGCTTACTTTTGTTAATAAATTAAAAATTATATATATACAAAATTATATATGTACATATTTTAGATACACATAATATATAATATATATTAGATACATATAATAAATATATACTTATTTTAGAATTGTGTGTGTGTGTATGTATATACAGTATATATATGTAATGTTATACACCGCATGTCTTTTAAAAATAGTGTCAACCAAGTTGTCAAATGTATTCCAGACGGCTTCAGTTTTTTATTTTGCAAAATATAAAATAAAAATTTTGCAATACAATATATTTCAAACATTTACTATTATTTTGCTAAACTTCCACTTTCACTGAGAGCCTTTTTCGCTTGTTGAAGCAGTTTAGTTCTATTGCGCCCAGAATTGTCGGCTCTGTTTACTAACATTACTACAACTAAAATCTGCGTGAGTCAATTTTTTTTAACTAAATCATAGGCCTACTGAAACCTCATATTAAATTCCATGCACCGCTTGTTTAATTGTCACGGTTACTTCGAGCACTTTACACACATAGACACCGCTGGACACTGTGGGTTATTTAGAGACGCCAATTACCGCGGGAGAAAAGCGGAGTACTCGGGTCAATATGGGCAACCCGTTATCCTCCAGGAAACCCCGTGAGATCCGATACGAACCCGAACACTCGAGGCGGTTGGCTGCAGTGGTGCTTACAGAGCCACCACTCTGTTAGAAGTTTTACTGATAAAAGGGATCTATTTCATTTTTATATTAATAATAATAACAATAATAATAATAATAATAATAATAATAATAATAATGACGAGACGTAAAAATAGGCACCTATTTACAAGTATGCGTGACGAAACATACGTAAAACAACCTTCTGTGTTTAAAGGAAATAACGTATGTTCATACCCGTTTCACGTATACTGTTGCAAGTTCATTTCATGAATTTCATTTTGTTCATGAATAAAAATATCACCTGGAAGATGGAAGATGTAATACTCCACGCAGATTAATCGTCAGTCTCAGGTTAACCTACCAAAAAGTCACCCAATAGCTTGGCAGCCTTCAGAAAAAAAAACATAACTGTATTACATATCTATACATGTAGATAAATATATTTGTCCTTTGTCGAAGAAAATCTATTTTAAGAGTTGACATAGGCTTATACTTTAGATATAGGCATAATACAGTATTATATGCCTAATAAAAATGGAATACATTTCAGTAGAATGTGCAGAAAACAAGTCAACTGTAATAATCAACAAAAAAGTTTATAGGCTATGTGCTCGAACCTAGCAAAATTGAAAAAAATTCTTAAAATATTACAAATCCTGCATTAGCAAATACTGAACTACACAATAAATTAAGATAAAATTATATCATATGAAGATACTGGTAATTATTAGTAGGCCTATTGATGAATAGGCCTATGTTTCAAAATAGTAGTTTTCTAAGAAATTTCCGAATAAAAAATCTAAATGAACGGTTTAATGGAGATTACGGACGAGCATTTTAACTAAAAGTATGTATGAACACTGTCTGAGCAGTATTAGTAGCCTATACATGAACATTAAATCGACGAAACTGACATTTAAAAGCATTTTTTTGCTTTAAGATTAGGGTGAAATTAAGTATTATTACAGGCGTGACAATATATTAAAATAGCTACAGTGTACATATATTAAGATATAGAAAATAATTTATCACATCTTAGTGAACAGGCAAATAAAATGCAATGCGGTCCTATAAAAGTGAGCAATTTCAATTTATGTTCCACATTAGATTAACACTGTTACCTTCTCTATTTTCCCTCTGTTTATATATAGAGTATCGATTTAAATTTCTTGGCTTGGGATATTCTTAATAAAGTCACCATTCTTTGATTGGCTGGCATCGTGATTTAACCAATGGGAAGGGAGCTATATTAACCTAAAGGAGAAAATCAGAGTTATTTGGGCATGTGCTATGACGTCGGTAAAGGAAGTGAATGTAGCGCATCGATAGAGCGACCGCCGGCAAAAATTGTGCAGGGTGTCCTGGAATTATCCGCACCGATATCAACACACCTGAACTTTTCAAGTTCAACAACCTGGAAACAAAGGACGCGGACTACACAGATTTTCAGATTTTAATAAACTGGATTTACTACTTTTCTGGAACATGTATTATTTTACATTCAAAAAAACTATTTAGCCTATTTATACTGAATGCATTTTTGTAATAGTTAAAACTTCATTAGTCTGCGTTAGACGTATTTTTTTGCTATTTTATATTTGATGGGGGATTTTGCAATTTTTAAAACTGGCATGAAGGCTACTTAATTAGATTTTATTTTAATATGGAAGTTTCTAGCGGTTCGAGCTTTGGAATAGACACAATTTTATCGAGCAGTACCGGTTGTGGTAGCCCTGTGTTGATGAACGGAGATTTTAGCCATGGTGACAACAGAAGTACGGATTTCAGGATCCATGTAACCCCCTCGCCATGTTCGGATATAGACATGGTGGGATCAGCCCCCTCATCACCGATGTCGGCCACCGTGGATCACGCCGAGCTGCAGGTGTTCCGCGACGGCTTTCAGCACCATCACTATCGTGACACTCAGCAGCAAAGTTTGCAGCTGTCGCCTCAGCTGCAACAACTTCCCTCTATCCCTAGATCTGCTACCTCTTCCTTTCTGATCAAAGACATTTTGGGCGACAGCAAACCACTGGCAGCCTGCGCGCCATACAGTACAAGCGTCTCAACGCCGCATCACATTTCGAAAACGGACATCGGCACGGAACCGAACGGCTTCAGGCCGAAATTAGATCACGAGGCGCGCAGCAAATTTGACAAACTGGATAACATTTCTACTGATATAAAATGTAACGGTAAGCGTACATATTTACTTATTAATCATGGCATATCAATCACAATTATTACCATTAATGTTTTCAATTTCATACTGAAAATAGATTAACGACGAGGAAGACATATTGGTCTAATGTATTTTATGTAGCCTAATAATAAACCGGCAATAATGTATCGCTTGGGTTTTGTTCTTAATTATATACTACATATATTGATATTATTGGATGTTTTATTATATTACTCAATTTCTAAAACACTTTACTATAAGGAAAGAAATGTCGACGATTGCTTATTTGGAACACTGAATTACCATAACAAAACCAAACACAGATGTAGACACTCTCCCTCTGTCGAGGCGCACCTCCCTAGTGGTTCAATTAAGGGGATTATTGTTGTTCCTATAGGGAGATCATGGAACACAATGAAAACCGATACAAATGGAGGCAGACTGACATGTACCACCCCTCCCCGTCCCGGCCCCCTATTAAAAAAGTTCACCTCAGTTCTAAGCAGTACTTCAATCACAGCATAACTGCTCAATGACATCTTGCCAAGAATAAGTGGGTCTGCCTGGTTTACCTTCATTCTCTTGTATTTTTAAGGGAAAATATAACCATTGGTCAATGCAGATATTTCAATGAATCATTAATTGCTAATTAGAATTTTGTGTAAAACAAATTTTGTGTAGACAAAATTCCGTTTGTTTTTCCTTTGAAATTTAACTAGGCCTATTATTTTAAAAATAAATTAATAAATAAATAATATCTGTTCAATAGAATGTCATAGTTTTACCGTGTTCGTGTTGTTCAGCAGAAAAAGAAGAATGTGACGAGGAAATCTCAAGCAGCAGGGGCAGCCCCCAAATCCGCTCGAAGAAGCCCCGGAAAGCGCGGACGGCCTTTTCGGACCATCAGCTGAATCAGCTGGAGCGCAGCTTCGAGCGGCAGAAATACCTCAGCGTGCAGGATCGCATGGACCTGGCTGCGGCTCTCGGCCTCACCGACACACAAGTCAAAACCTGGTATCAAAATCGCCGGTACGTGTCCTAAGTACGTTTTGCGAAAATATGCTGATATTTCTTTCAGTTCCATCCAATTTTACACTATATTGGTAGACTAAAATTGTTTTACTCTCACGCTGAAATATTTGATGTGTTATCGATTCTAACGAGATACTAATCTGTTATTAATTGATCCAATAAAGTTTAAAGCGAGACAGATAACACGATGTTTTATTTCCAGCACTGATGCATTCGTTCCTGTAGACGTATTTGTGCTTGTAAAAATCACAAAAATAATCAGCTTCTCTATTTAAACAATGTATGCAAAAATGTGCAATATGAGCCTCAGTGAAGTTTGTAAAATACCGATGCGACTGATATCAGTGAGACAAATATTCAGTTGCACTGGTTTAAACACACACGCGTGGGAAAAATTAAAATGATTTGGCACAAATAATAATAAAAAAAAGATATATTTTGGTCTGATTGCAGCACGAAGTGGAAAAGACAGACCGCTGTCGGACTGGAGTTGCTGGCTGAAGCTGGAAATTATTCTGCTTTACAAAGGATTTTCCCATCTCCTTATTTTTATCATCCGAACTTGCTGGGAGGCGTGGACGGCTCGACAGCGGCCGCCACAGCAGCGGCAATATACAGTAGTATGTACCGGACTCCGCCGGCGCCTCACCCGTGTCTCCAGAGGCCCATAGTGCCGAGGGTCCTCCTCCACGGTCTCGGTCCGGGGGGGCAACAGGCATTAAATCATCGGTAGAACAACAACAGGCCTATAATAAAACAAACCAGGAGAGTACTAAACGTTTGAATGACTGATCAAAATTTAAAGACTTAAAAAATAACCAGTTTTATGCACGACCCAAAGAAGGATGTAATATATCAAATATTAACATTGGAAAAATAAATTTTAATCCCCCAAGATGGACTGATCACGTTTTCTATAGTGATACACGTATTATATTGCCAAATAAACATATAACTTTTATTACATGGAATGACTTGAATAAAGAGAGGATGACAAAGTAAATCTGAAACAGACCTACCTTCATGTTACCTATATATAGGAAACAAAGCAGCTACAACATGATTTTTTTTTACCGTCAAGGACTGAATGTTCATCTTCATAAGAGGCATGTAGCGTAAATATGACGTGTACTGAGTAAAAGGTTTATTGTACGTTATCAGAAGTGTCCGCTTATATAAAACATTCAAGTGTTGTCTCACAATTTATTTGAAATGTTTAATTCCACAACCTGTACAAAAAAGGAAATTGATCTTTCCTGTTCGCTCTGTGTTTTTAAGATTTTATAGGCCTATTATATACACGCAAACATCAAAACATGAATCCATTTTTACACGCTTGTATTTCGTTGGCAACATAACATTGAGCGACTGGTTTTACGCTTTCCGATCTGTAAGCTGTAAATTTATTCAAATAAGCCAACATTTCTATCTGCGTTATGTGCATATTTAGCAGCTTTCTGGCGGGGAGAATAAATGGTTTGATGAACTGGGAGGTCGGCCATGGAAATGGGAAGGTGGTCCCAGTGTGGCAGCTGTTCTGGGGTAGCAAAGACAGACAGCAGACGGGAGGTTCCTCAGAGTGAGTAAAACAACCAGAATACTATAAGAAACATATAAACATACACCGAGAAATTTCACATTCATTATCTATTTTTACTGGTGTTTTAATCTGATAATTTATTATTGCTATCAAGTAAAACTTTGACCGTCACATTTCTTAAACTAGGCCCAGATATAAAATGAGTATTTTGCGAGATATTAGCAGAATAGGCTTAAACTACAGATTTATTTAATATAGTTTGACACAAACGCGTTGCTTTCATATGGCAGAAAACAGAACAGAAACACACGAAATTGAGAATTTTTGGTAAAACAGTACGCTATTCGTTCCATTCAGCTAACCTCGATGCGTGAAAGTAAAAATAAAGTATATGTATTCAATATTTTATTCACGTCTCTTGTCTTACAGAGGTAACACGATAAAGTGTACCATAAGATCAAGAGTAAATTAACATTCAAGTAGTTTTGTACTTAGAATGATGTTCCCGGAGGGACTGTCGTGTGCGGACGCTTTAATCTGCATAGGGATTAGAAGGTTTTTACACACATGTGGCACGACAAGGGTAATACTTTAATTTTAAATTCTTTAAAACACATTTAATGGAAGATTTTAACAATGCGATCATTTATAATTTAATTTATTACTTATAAATTATGACTTTGATACATATCCCAGGGATCACGAAATAAGGCGGAATCATAATATTAATGGTCAAGACGCGTGAACTGCAGTCGAATATGGGTACCCAACAACAATATAGCGGAGCAATTATTAGAAAAGAAATATTTGTTAAATGTAGGCCTATATGCTATTCTGAAGGCGAGACATTATCTAGGTTACTCACGTATTACACTTGTATTAAGCGTATCTTTAAATATATCTCAAGCTCATTTACCGTTCACCATCTTCCGGAACAAATGGACTGATTATAAGATTGTGGCAGGTACACGCTGTCAGCCCTGCAAGTACGAAGCAGAAATCTTTACTTTTCGCCGTTTTCAGTTTAAGAAATACTGGTCTACTACCATTGGTACTCTTGCAACATCCTGTTAGTGCGGACATTAAAGTGCCTTATTCCTGGCCAGTAACCGGCAAAATATTGATTCGAATTCTATCGCAATCCTAGAGCCTCTGTTCAACTAATCTGAGTGTCACTTTGTAAGATACTTGAAGCACAAAATATTGAACAGGCAGCGAACTTCATAGATGAGTTACGTGTGGGACATGTAGGCCTAAATTTGTTTGTTGGTTTTGGTACAACTAGACTGCAGCTTAAACTAATTTGTGTCCAGTATGAATTAATGATTTCAAGACCATTTTATGTAGTACTTGTTTAAATTTCACTCAGAAGAAAAGTAGCAAATGGGCCAATTAAAAATAAATATTTATATAGTTTATATGATAAGTATTTGTAAAAACACAGGGACAATGGAACATTTAATTATTGGATTGTTCTAGAGCGACTGTTGTGAAATTTAATTGCAAGGTTTTAAAACTGATACAACGCAATAAGTTGTCTCTGTCATTATTATGAGGCAGCACGATTTCTCTCTCCAGCATCTATTACGAGGAGCTTTTCCAGTTTAAACATACGCGTATGCAGTAGCCTACCTTTTCATAGTTTCGACAGTGGTGCAGGATCACTTACTGTAAACATTTCAAAAAACCATATCGAGTGTTGTCACTTGCATTGCATATCCATATGAATAATGTTATACAAAAACGTCTAAGAAAGGCATCCGTCACTTAATCATGGTTGGCTAGAATCTTAAACTTTTCCCGTGGTAATTGTAAGGTGGCAAATAGATGAATTTTAAAATACTAGGTTGTGAACATATGAGTTTTCATGGGTGGTGAATTTGGAAAATAGTTCTAACAAGGTTAGATTCATGCGAAGACGAATTCGAATTCGTAAATTAACGAAACCTTTGTCTAAATCTTTAGTTTGTATGAATCAATGCGCATTATGGCACCTAATTTGTACTGGTGAGCATTGATATGTGACATACTTTTTAAGTTTTTTATAATACTTTTGCCAAATGTTACTTTTTTTCTTATTATCCATCTGCCAGTGGCTAGGATTTGGTTATTGTTTCTGTCATTTCTACCAAAAACAAAACAAAACAATTTCAATTTAAAACAAAACAAATGTAAACCTAAATGTTAATTATAAAACTTCAATTAATATATATGGATTAATTAATAACTAAAAGTTTCCAAGCATTGTTTTTCATATCCTGTATATCTGAGTGACAATCTGACTATATAAGTGGACAATATTAGGTAAAGTAAAGGGACACATTTGTTTAAAGCTGTACAAAAATGCAACTGGCATGACCATATACATACAATATTAATATTAAGCTACATCCGACAAGCCTTCTTAAAAGTGTTAGCTAGTTCAAAATAAAATGTTCATTCAACCACCTCTGTGACTGTTTATTATTATAACAGAAAGTGCACAGATGATTAGATCTAGATGACATACTTAGCCAAAGTTTTATCACTTTTATTTTGATAAAATTCTTTAATTAATGAGTGTTTTTTTCGACAAGCTGCATTGGGACATACTCTGACACGAAATTGTGACATGAAAATTGAAAAGATTATCATTGTTTGTTACTTAAAAGAATTGCTCTCTCTAAGTATCAATGGAGACTCAACCTTAATTTGTATTTTCATATGGAAACAAAAATTGCAAATCCTAATACATTGTGTAGGAACTAAAATATGGGTTTCAATACAGTTCAGTCAGTAAGAATCTGCAGTAGCTTACAACATAATTGTTCTGTGTTTCTTAAGTTAATAAAAACTGTTCAGATTTCATTGCTATTGTGCAATGAGATGCATCCATCAAGCGGATCATTAAAAAATAATAACAATACCTAACAAAAATGGCATCACAGTAGAACAAATACCAAATGAGTGTGCTGATAATGTATGCAAATAATCCGTAGTTTATTCTATTGTGCCCTTATTATTGCAATTTGCTGCTTTTGATAACCTCACGGCTTGAAGGCAAAAATTTGTGAACCTTATGATTCGAATGATGATGTTTCCATTCTCTCTGCCAGAAGGGAGGAAGGAAGGAAGTGGAATTTATCACTGTTTGTGTATCTCTGCATGTCTAATCATATACACCACGACTTTGAAATACATATTAAAGAGAACGTTAGTTGTGAATTTCATGGTCCATGTCACAGAGTTTCAGAAGATGTTTTTCTAGTGAACTTGATAGAAAAAGAGGGACCCTGATCATTTTAAAATGATTTGTTCATTTGCGTTAATGAGCAGATAATCCAGGTGTTATCGAGATGCATTGATCTAAGACTGGGATTAAAAACTCCTCATGATGATCTAAATTATTGCTGATCATTTGTGCACATGGTGCCCATGCTTCTTGTCAATTATTGTAACCAAGAGATAAGATTTAAAGTGACCAACAACTACTTTAAATAACTGCATTGTTTATATTAGGAGGGGATTTCTTATTCCTATGGCTCATTACGATTAAAATCATTATGAGATACACTATTGTAGCAACTCTGTTTCGATAAGGTCGTTTGTTTTTTGTTTTAAATCAGTAAATCTAAGGCTGGAGAAGATGACATAAATTTTATATATGCAGTGCTGGATCACAATAAACCTGATGTCTGTCCAGAGAAACACAGGAGAAGAGGCTGAGGACAGCCTGGATGAGACTGATCTGTGTACAAATCATATCCCTTCCCACCATCTTATAATTGCTCAAGATAATGAGCTTTTATAATAGTGTACAAATGAGTGCTATATATCATATTAATGATGTTTGGGTGTTTATATCTTTAGGACCACGTGCCTGATTTTGTTTTTCCTATAATGCAACCTGAGAAGCTTTGGTGTTCAGAGAATTCCCCCAACCACGTCTATATTCAAAGTAAATAAGATGTACACATGCCGTAGTTAATTATCTTTTAAATCCAAAGATATCTTTTGGCTGGCTACTGCTGAGTGACAACACAAGCCATTAAATGCAATGAGGATGCGAAAAAGCGTTAGCACCTACCTGTGAGGTACATGTTCAGGCCTGTAGTGTGGCAAGAATGTGATTAAAATGTGTAGCTAGGCGTGAGCAGATCTATCCCTGTCAGTCCTGTGTGTACCGAACGGGCAAACGAGCGGTGGCTGCTACA